AACAAACAAAAATACTGTTTTCAGTTAAATTTTCATCAGCATTTACCCGAATACCCCAGTACGGTTGAGAGTGAGGAGAGTCAGCTCTCCCTCTCCAAAATACTTTCACATGGCCACGTGCATACGACCACTGACAGGGAAGTCCTACTCACTGCCTTCTCGTGGCATATCTGTTCTTTACGAGATTGAGAGGACGAAAAGAAAATGACCAGCGCTTTAACCAAATTGGTGGATATGGAGGATACACCTATGGGGGTTGGATATCCCTGATTCCAAACCAATGGTGCACATGGGCTCCGGGATCCTGAGGAAACAAATGGTGTCTGAAACAACTGTTGGTCACCGAGTACCATGGGACTACATCTCCTGACGTTGCTACACTGTCTTGTGGATTAGACCCTTAAGTCAAAGGCTCCGAGTAAGAAAACCATCTGTTTCGGTTTGGGCACCCGGGAAGTATCCCAGCCCTCACATAAATCGAATGATTTATGTGATGCATTTCGGTTTGGTGCCTCCTTGTACCAATGTTTATGTGTTTAAATAAATAAATAACATAACATAAACTAAACAAAACGATTCATGAACTAATGATAACAATGACAAAGGATTACGTAACTAATCATAACAAGGAAAATATACAAACTGATAATAAGGCGGGTGTAGTTATGATTATAAGAATAATAAACGGTATAATAAAATGAATACATATTTCTACATAGCAACTAACGTTAAGAAGTTGAGAAGATAGAAATTACTAAAATAATCAATATTGAAAATTCCTCAATTAGGTAGAATTGATATGTGTAAATAATCAGTTTAAATATGAAAGGAGTGAAGTGAGATAAACAATGGCTAGAAAGAGCAGATAAACATGTCTATTGAATTTTCTTTAGTCAAACAAAGAACAGAGATATTATAAACTTCTTCCAAATATATGAACTAGAGTTGTTAAGGTGATTCTCAATAAATCTCGATATGTTTTGTGACCGTTTTCAAATTACATTGAGAGATTTCTCACTAGCTAGGTGGACAATTTGCTTAGTAACACATTGCCCAATGTCCTACTGAGTTTTCACATATTTCTTTTTGGTGTTAAAACCCTGTATAATATTGATTAATTTGGGTTCTGATAAGTACATTTCCTATGCTTTTAGAATAGATCATAAAAATCCATTAACGTCTATACAAACAGATAGACTATACTACTACTGTAGTGAAAGAAAAAAAAACAAGTGGGGACAATCGAATACTTTACCACTGAGCTATACCACCCCCTCCCCTTTCATTGTTCTTGCATTTTTATATCAATTACTTTCTGTTCCCATTCTTTCCTACTCGACACTCTTCTATCAGATATTCTAATCCTGATTATCGTTATATACTACTACTCATGTCGATATAAGTAGCACATATCACACTAATACACCTAATTACACATTGAATCCACATTGTACAATTTATCTTATTATCAGTAAATAAATAAATAATGAATTTATCATCTTTGAATTAATCAAAAGAATAAAAACGTGGGGGGGGAGCGGGCGGGTGTGCGGTAAACGTAATTTACTTATCCATGAATAAAATAATGTAAACATTTATCAGTTTAAAAAAAATTTTTTATAATCAAGTAAAATGTGGTTAAAAAAATAAAAATAATAAAAAACTTGGGAAAATCTGGAAAAGCAATAAAAAATGGGGGGGGATGAAAAGAGTTATGTATATGTCTGTCTGTCTATAATGTGACCTTGTGTGTGTGCATTTTGTGTCTACCTCTCAACCAATCAGCTGTTTGTATATATATATATATATAAATCAAGGAATAGACATGTAATTGCGTGCTATTATCTAGTCTATTGAACTCAAACAATACATCACAAACGATAATGTTCACTTCATAAACTATTTTTTATATTAGATCATAACAATATAAGGTAAGAAAGTAATTAGTGAAAGAAAATGGATTGATTTTACATTTCTTTTGTTCTAAGATAAGATCTTCACCAAACATACATGCGTACATACATACATGGTACGGTGTTACTCCACCGTCGTCTACAATCTCCCCCCTCCCCCAAAAATGTATCCAGGATAGAACAAAATGGATAAATAACTTAACATAAATAAATAAATAAATAAATAATTGAATATTTCCATTGTAGTACAATTAGTAAACAATAATAATAATAATAATAATAATAATAATAGTAATTGAAGTACACATTAATATGAACAATTTATTGTATGCAATATATAGTACTTATTTAGATAGTGCACTATCTATATATGATTACATAGATAAGTGAAATAACTAAACATACACCTAATATAAACATACAAAAGAACACTTCGCCTTCCTCCTTCTACTGAAATATAGATATTTAAGTAGCATTTTCATAGAATGATGCCTTTTGGTTAATAAATAAATTAATTTATTATATATAGATAATCATGATAATTATAGTATCTGAGATAAATATAAAATCAGATAACCATATGTTTATGTAGATGAATTAAGAAAAGAAAAAAGAAAAGAACTATTCATGAAATAAAGGGAAAGTCGGAAAAAAAACATACATAAGAAAAATCAGACAGAGAGGGGTTTTTGGGGATATTATAGTAATTTCTAATAGTTGAGATCATGAGTTAATTGAAGTTAGATAATCATGAAAAACTTGGAAGTACTAGACGGATGTTTTATTCTATTGTGGGACTTCTTAGAAGTGCACATTCACGATCCTGTCCCGTGAGATTCGAACTCAGGACCTACTAGTCACGCGCGTGAACGGTTAATCTCTAGACCATTGAACTTGACGGTATCTAACGCTGTTAATGTGTAATTTTAATCAATCCACGAAATTGCACCGTGACTAGTAGAGTGCAACAGAGTCTGTTGTGAGATAGTAACTCACTGAAGACAATGGTGGATGTTTCGCTCAATTCCGTAGATTATTTAAAATTAGACATTAACATCGTTCGATGCCGTCAAGTCCAGCGGTCTAAAGGTTAAGCGATAGGTTCTAGGTTCGAATCTCGAGAGGCGGAATCGTGGGTGAGCACTGCTGTGGAGTCCCCATAATATGACGAAACGGCCGTTCAGCGCTTCCAGGTTTTCCATGCTGGTCTAGCTTCGATTGACTCATGATCTCAACTATTAATATTCTATATAACTTGAAACAATCTATATAATGAATGAGTTTAATAAATTTATCCAAACTCATAATTATTTTTCTGTAATGTGAGTAGTGTTTTCGGTTTCTCTAAATTGCAAGCAACTGTTAAATATGATCGAATATGGTGATTCGACCTGAGACTTTTAGAAAACATATGTTACCAATGACAAAAATATATTCAACCTACAGTAACCTTATTCACAATGGACTATACCATAAGATTTTTCTCATTTTTATTTGATTTGTAAATTCGTGTTTATGTTATTAGTTAATCATAATAAATTGAAACCATGTCTACATGTCGACTAATTGATCTGTATGACATATTTTTAGTAATCATTTCATAGTCTACTATTAGCAGATTCTTAGAGTTAGAATTTCGACATTATTAATTGTTGACTATATATTCTTAGCTATAGTCATTCACTGATATGAGTCAACTATAGACTGTGTTAGAAGACGGTGGTTTTAGTTAGTCATCAGGAAACACTGGACCCAGGTTTCGTGCTATTTAGCATCAGTTCCGTCAAGATTGCAGTTACACCTTGCTGAAGAATACCAAGTAGCACGAAGCCTAGGTCCAAGGTTTCCTGTTAACTACCTACAACCACCATCTTATCTCAACATAGTGCACTCAATGTCGAGTCACCTAGACTAGTGGCTACATTGCAACTTGATTGATGGGATTCGATCTGCACTAAGAAGTACCCAGAGATCAACCAATTGTATATACTGTGTTATTTAACTCCTAACCAATATTCATACATAATTAAGTAGAAGGAGTGTTCACACTATTCGATATTGTACTTTCCGCAAATAGTGCAAAATGTTCATATCTTCAGCTATACAGATTATGTTTATCTAGTAGATAACAATCAACTGAGAAGTTTTCACTTACTGATATAATTCAGACAAGATTAAAAGCAAGTCAGTTAGTTTTCAGTAACAGAATATGGTACGAATTCACTTGGTGTTGTTTACTTGAATCTTCTCATTGATATTTAGGATTGCAATTGATCAGTCTCTTATTGACATATGTGCATACTATGCGTATTGCCTCGATATTGCCTTAATTCACAAGTATTATAAACAAAGATTGATAGAGACTAGCAGTGGAATCCAGTTTGGCGGGCGTTTCATCCTATTTGGGACTAGTCAGCTGGATGTGCCTGCATCTAAGTGAACAGTACTGGGTTCGAGTCCCAGGGTGAACATTAACAAGTCTGAGATGCACTCAAATCCATCTGACGAGTCCCAAATAGAACGAAACGTGCGTCCTGTATTCTACTGCTAGTCACTATCCATCTTTACTAAGAATATGGTACATATGTGTATCGATTCAATCTATCACATCATATCAGGATAATGCAATTAAACTGTTAAGATAAATACTGGGTTAATAAAAGTTATAACAGTATCAGTGATAGTAGAAAATATTAAGAATAGACAATATGATTCAAGAGAAAAGAATGAAATTGATTAATAGAATATATAAGATAATCTTACAATTTAATATCTAGGGGAAAGATAAAGAATTCATGTATCTCCATTATTTCGACTGATTTTAACTCATATCACCCCACCCAATGACTCAACTCAGGTAGTATGTAATTAATAGCTATCATCTTACAGTATTATTCAATTATGGATTATGACGATGTCATTGTCAGTAAATACAACTGACAGGTCATAGACTAATTATGTGTTATTAGATGTTATGAAATCAATTATGTACATGGTAACTGTTATACATTGTACACCATACATATATGCTTGACGAAAATGGAAAATAAGCACACACACACACACACACGCATATATTTCACTCACCTTATGTAATTGGTTAATAATATTGTTATCTACATTTGTTTGTTGTTTAGATACTGAAAATCCTGTTGTTGAAGAAGGAGTCGGAAGAGAGGATGTTGGAGGATATGATAAATTACTATTATTATTATTATTATTGGATTTCATTTGAACAGATCGATTTAAACCCATAATTGGATGTGATATAGAACATGATTTTAATCCTACTATTTCTGATATTGTTGCTGTCGATACTGGTAAAGATGATGAAACACTTTCAGTGACTATTGTCGATGTTTGTATTGTGGAATTAGGAAGTAATGATTTATTAGTTTCAGTCAACTCATTTAATTGATTAGCTAACATATCTCGTTCTTCAATGACACATGTTAATTGAGCTTGCATATTTGATAAAATTGTTTCATATTTTATACACTGAAAGAGAAATGAATAAAAAAACAGTAAAAAAATATCAGTGAATAAGTAGTATTTAGTATCGAATTCAGTCAGTCAGTCAGTCAGTAACAACGTAGAACTTCGTACGTACGTACGTACGTACATCAGTTCGAGTTGCCACACCACATTAGCACAGAGATGCAGTTGTCGATTCAAATCCTGTAATGGTAGAGGTAGCAAGAGTATAAGCAGTAATCGGGAAGATTAGGGTTTGGAGATGTTATTTAAAGAGTATAATCCAGTGAAGTAAATTTGGAAAGATGAAAAAAGGGACATGGAGAATTCAGAAGATTAGAATTTGGGAGAACACAAAGAGTGGATGCACCTGCACCATTGCAAACGATTATGAGTAGTATCAAATTTGAATTCACGATTCAATCTAAGCTAGACCACCATTGAAAACATGGAAACATTCAGTGGCCATTGTATCCTAGTGTACAGGACTCATCAGTAGTGCTCACCTAAGATCCCGAGCGAGGACGATTAAACTCTAGATCAATAAGCTTAGATCGACTCGTGAATTCAACTCTGAAAATGCTATAATCTTCATGAATCACCATACCGAAAAATTGGATATGTTATGTAGATGATGCATTCATTATTCTGAAGAGAGACGAATTCGAAAATAATCATAAGTTGCCTAACAACATCTTTGACGACATCGAATTTATAAGAAATGAAAATTCAAAAAATAAGATATCTTTTTCATATGTCTTAATCAACAGAACGAATACAGGTAACTTTAGAAACACAAGTATACATAAAGCCAAGTCGTATGGACCAAATACTTGGCTACAACAGTGACAATCGAACAGCACAGAAAAGTCAGAACCATTTTGAGCACCGTCGCTAAACGAATAATTAAGGAAACCTATCTATCTGTTGCCTATAAAAATGGCTACCACAAAAAATTCATCGAAATGTGTCTGATTAATCTGTATACCATCAAGAAAAGATCAACATCGGGAACCAAAAATACAGATCATTCCACCATATGTGTAAAATATTTTAGAAACTATTAGAAGGATTCTGAAACTTGTTTTTTTTGGATCAATGTCGCTTACAAACCAACGGGATAACTTTATTCCATATTATGAAGATTAAAAGCCAACAGCAAAAGTGGACAAATTCAATATCATCTACAAATAAATTATACTAACTACAAGAAATGTTACATTGAACAAGATGGACGCCCGTTTCATTTAAGTATATACAACCAAAAGTTTGAAGTCAAATGACACAATATTTTACCACTGATATCAATGCAGGTAGAAAACTGCAGACATGAATTCAATTGGGAAAAAGTAGGACCATAGGATCGAGAACATTCTAAGAACATCATTCAAATCAATCCCTAGTCAATAGACACATCGATGTAGATCTATAAACCTATAAGAAAAAGATCAATCAATCACATGATCAATGGTCAATAAAATAGAAATATAAAGCAAAATAGAAAATAAGATCTATGAAAACCATCCGTTACAAACAAGGACATCGGAACAAATTCATCTAACATTTAAGGAATAACTAACTTCTATACAAAATAGATGTTAATCATGTTGTCCTATGTGTTACTATGATAGTTTCACAATTGAACTAACCATCTAACTCAAGAGAATAAAATGTCATTAAAAGTATACAAATCACATCCTTAACTCACAAAAACATATTACTATTATTATTCCATATTACATAGTGATCAGTTTACAAATCAATAATTTTCTAAAAAAAAACTGCTTTTGTAACTAAGGTAAAAAGAATTGAATATTTTTTTATAAAAAAAACATACTCATTAATTGGGGAATAAATTTTTTAAATATAGAAATATGAAAGGGGGGGGGTATAAGAGAATGTGATAGATATTAGGTGGTTTAGATATTAGATACTACCTAGGCAACAATAATTAATAAATTATTTCACTTAACTAATGTTAACATTGACTGATTAGTCTATTTTTTTTTTATAGAAAAAAAATTCTTTCCTTATCTCCACCTTATCTCGATTTAGTATAAAGATAATAAATAATGAAAGAAGCAAAGTAATAGGGAGTACACTTTAATTTTTACCGTTGCTATAAGCAACTATATTCCGTTTCATCGAGATACTAAACTGTTATTATTATAACTGAAAAGGAAACAGACACACACACACACACACACGTACATATACACATTAAAGAAACTGTTTAAAGAATCTAGTTTGGGAAAAATTTTTTAAAATAGAAAAAACAGAGGAGTCATTTGAAATTTCTTATTTTTTTCTTACATCACTTGAGACATCGGTAAAATCAAAGGATAAGTAAACATTGTAAGAGTTAGCCCATTATACATATATAAGTAGAGATGGATAATAGCTAGCAGTGGAATTCAGAACACACATCACTTCGTTCTATTTGTGACTCTTCACCTGGATATACTTGTATCCGAAAGTTGATATACACTCCGGGACTAAAACTCAGTATCGCTAGCTTTACACAATATCGCGTTCCCTAATTAGCAATTAAGAGCAGTGAAGTTTGATTCAGTTTTGTATTGGTTGTTTAAATCTTCCCATTGATGTTCAAGATAATAAATCAATTGCGTTTTGATAGTATTACTCACTGAGTTGATAATATTAAGATTGTATACTTGATTCCAAGTAATGTGAATGAGTTGCGATTGATGGATTTCTAAATCTGAACCGATTGAGATGGTTACATTGTTTAACACTCAGGCCAGATTTCTGTGAAATGTTCAGTTGCTATGTTGGAGATCAGTTACTCATTATATTTTATTTATTTTAACACATAGATTGGTACAAGGAGGCACCAAACACATATGCGCCACACAAATCTCATTTGATATGTGTGAGGGCTGTGATACTACCTAGGTGCCTAAACCGAAGCAGGTGGTTTTCATAGGGAGCCACACACGGAGCCTTCTACATGAAGGTCTGATCCACAAGGCAGTGGAGCCATCGTAGGGAGATCCAGTTCCATGGTAGCCAGTAACCAACGATTGGTTCATATGCCATTTGTTCCTTCAGGATACTGGAGCCCATGTGCACCATTAGTTTGGAATCAGGGTTTTCCAACTCCCCTAGGTGGACTCTCCATGTCCACCAATTTGGTTAAAGCGCCTGACGGACATTCTCTTTTCGTACTCTCAATTTCGTAAACAACACCTGTGGTGCGAGAATGCAGTGAGTATGACTTCCCTGGCAGAGGCTATATACGCGTGGCCATTTGAGAGCATTTGCAGAGAGAGAGCGGACTCTCCCCACTCTTGGCCGTACCAGGGCATTTTGGCGCTAAGTTGCTGTACCCCATTAGTACGATAAGATGAAAGTTGAACAAATTGAAATAATGTAAGAACAATGATAATGATAAAGACTAAACACTGAAAATATGGTTCGAGAAAGTGAGAAGTGTATGAAGGAATACTACAGCTCAAGATCCAGGGAAAGATGAACAGTGAATTCATCTGCACCATTGACTGATTATTAATCAGTATCTCTAACTGTTACTGTACCCATTTATCTACCAATGTAGCTCGCGTCTACCAATATTCAGATCAACAACCAATGACTCCAGAGACCAAGGTTAGGCTTTGCTTTGGAAACCTCCAACTTTCTTCGCATCATCTGGATCCTTGTATTGATGTTCACATTAGGATTCAAATCCAGTATCTTTAGCTTCAAAAGTCAACGTTTTATTCAGTCTCACTTAATAAACATATAATTATATATAAATATTTCTTTTCATGTTTACAAAATGAAATTGCCTAATATATGTAACGATTATAACATACAACTTGAAGTTTTCGTAGATCATTATTGAAAACATTCAGCCAAACATATACTATAGTGTAATATGAAGAGGAATTCTTGTAGTTTAATGATAGTTTTTGTCACAGACTTTTATTGATCACATATAAAGATTTACATATAGCCACCCACAGGAAATGATAATATTGTGAAGAGAAAGAAGACGGAAGAATTTTACCATCAATAAAGATTTACCTTAGTTATAGGACACAACTTCAATTTTATAAGTAATGTAATATCGTCATTAGCTTCTATGCTAAGCCTTGTCTGATAATGTTACACGTTATTGAGTTGTACGATGTCTAGGATCCAAATGGAGAATAGTGAAGAAGCAACAGATCCCAATCCTATACAACGTTCATATAACCGTTTCATAATATGTCATAATAAAGTGTTGTCACTGGATTTCAATAATGCTTCAGAGGCAACGATCATCGAATCCAGAGGGTCACTAAACATAAAGGAAACATTTTGTCTGTTCAATCAGTTACAATGAATGTAAGGCCTAGAACAAATGTGTTTGAACTACATTGTCACACTGCATTAATAAAGTGAGGTAAATTTAACAAGATAGATAGCGAAAAATTGATGTAATGGTAGTCAGTGATGGTCAAGTGAACTAAACATAGAAAATGTGACTCAAAAAAAGAAGTCAAATTAAATAGTAAAAGAAATTTAATATGGTATTCAAAATAGAATTTAGGGAAGATTCTAAATGGCTACATTTGCGCTACTCCGAATGATCTACAGTTTCTAAAAGTTAATCATATGGAGTATAATCAGATAATTGTAATAATATATCAATACAGTACCGACTAATAGTTGATGGGCTACATAGACTGATGTCATATCTTGACTTGAATACTGACAATATTCTTCTGATCTAATACCATACAAACTAGGACTATTCAATGAAGTATGCAGTGATTTGACCAGCGTAATATATATCTCAGTCATCGAATATCTAATAAAATCATCAATCGATTTACCACTTTCATCTTATCATAACTAAGTTCAAACATCGGGTATTATTTATTCATGCAACTTGAATTATTTTAGTCAATAGTAAAATCATCACAAGATACAAAGAACCAACAAAACGTTTGTAATGTAAAATGGTTACAGACATATTTATCTCTACATGTTAACTCTTATTCCGAATTTACCTACAT